CCCCAAAACCCCAAAACCCCAAAACCCCAAAACCCCGTGTATATACAAAATGAATTGTTTTTGAGTGATGAATTAATGAGTATTTAATACATCATAATTATGAGATAAAATTAGTAGATGTATATAACTCAATAGATTATATCCTTTACATGAAATACTTGTACTATAATCGATTAAAAAACTATATATTAGAATGCTTCCCCGATAATATCAATAAGCTTATGGCGTGCATGGAAAATATCAAGAGTAACCCTAATACATGTTCTCGCCATTTAATTTATATTAACCTCTCCTGCCACCAAGACACTTGATGTACGGATTTAACACTCTCGGAATTAATACCCCAAAAATTATAAGACCAGCCGTGTAGATTATCCAAAATAATATTTAGACAAATAATAGCAATTCGGTACCACATATTACAATGAATCATAAATTAGTATATCCAATACCATTAGCATAAAATCACTTATCATAGATCAGTTGGCAAGATTAGAAAGATATTTAACTGGGAATCGATATTTAGAAAAAGCCATATCATTCCTTGGGATCGTCGCTCGATCTGAATCTAATAAATATGAAATAATTTTAAGATTAGTCACTAAGTGAACTTAACCTAAATAGATATAACAGTACATAGATTACTATGAAAGATATTGATTCACCCACATTTAATCCTCTTCTACTAGACACGAAATATTCTTCAATGGAATCGCAGATTCTCGGAGATTTAAATCTAATTCCAGAGCAGGATCTTTTGTGTAAAAAAATGGAAAATTAAGAAACACACCACCCCGAAGAGATAAGAAATTTTGACATTTACAAGCAACAAGAAAACCTGTACTAATAAGTCATTGATTAAAATCTGTATCAAGACAATGGGGAATTCATTTAACAAAGCTCTTTATTGCAATAGAGTAACGAGGAAGAGAAGTATGTTATCAATTAAGAACGTAGGACCTTTGTTAAGAATTAAGCTGCTTCATATAGCTTTAGGTTGGGGAGCTACCCCAAGAGATTTGAATTGATATACAAAAATCTTTTGAGAGATATCCGAAAATATTTTTGGAAGCAATTCAATTAAATGACGGATTTTAATACGTTCCGCAGACGACAGAGAAGACAACAGTACTATCTGTAATGTCTTAGAGAGTTTATTGAAAAGATCGTCAGCCCCGATCTTATAAGTAAATCATAGATATCATTAGAGTCCATCATATTTTATCTAGGAAGTTTGATCTACCCCAAAGATATGATGAGTAACTATACCAAAAATTCACCTGAAAGAAAAGAGATTACAACAATCCATGACAACTTATATAAGTTTTCATTCAAAAGATTATAGAAATTGTTGAATGTGCCAGCGGTGGTACTTTTAATGATTGTATATGTTACTAACAGAGGATTACACCGCATTAACAAAAATTCAAAGTTTAACCAGCAAGCTCCACTCTACCAAGAGGCACTTGTAAAAATGATTCAACTGAGCCCCTCTGGATTACAGATTCTAGAGAGAGCAAATATTTAACTATCAGACTTCTAGTCAACCTTATAAATAGAGTGAACGATCCAAATCATTGAATGATTTATGCCCTTAAAAATATTTTATACAGATAGGCAACACAATACCTTGTGTATTTAATAATATCATTCTCAATATTAAATCAAGCAAACAGCATATTTATCATTATTATTAATTTAAGATTTAAGCATTTTTTATTTAAAATTGCAAACTGTTTCTGTCAAAAATTATGAAGCAAAATGTGTGTGCATGGGGGTTTTGGGGTTTTGGGGTTTTGGGG